TTTTTTTTTTTTTTTTTTTTTTCCTTTGTGGCGGGTCAAAATGTTTTGCAAAAAAACCTGGCCGTTTCCAAATTGGAAACCTTCGGGAAGTCTCCACAGCCGTGCCCGAGCCCGCGACCGCGGCTGTGCCCCGCGTGCGCGGAGCTGCATCAGGAACGCCCGGGAGCGCCCAAACCGCCGCAATTCGGGAGCAAAGCACGCATTTCTCGGCCGGCGCTCCCCCGCCGCACTCAAGCGGGAGCCCCGCGGCCCGGAGCGAGCTCTCCCGCCCCGCCGCCAGCAGCACCAACAGCAGCAGCCCGGCCCGGGCGGAGGACACGCCGCAGGGCGCCGCTCCCGCCGCGGCGGGCACGAGGGTCTCGCCCTGCCCCGCCCGCCTCGCCCCGCCCCGCGCGGCCCCGGCCCCGCGCGGCCCCGCGGCCGCACCTCGCGGCGCACGTTGAGCAGCCCGTAGTAGTCCTCGTTGTCCGGCGCCTCCTCGCCCAAGGCCGCCGCCATCGTCCCGACCTCTCACCCCGCGCCGCGCGCTGCGGCGCCCCCTGCCGGCCCGGCGGTCCGCCCGCCCGCGCACGCGCGCGGACACCGCCCCTCCCCCCCCTCGCTCGCGCGGCCCGGGCGTGTGCGCGTGCGCGGTGCGCGAGCCGGGAGGCGGCGGCGGCGGCGGCGGCGAGGGGTGAGTGAGGGAGGGACTGAGGGAGCGAGCGAGCGAGGGAGCGCGGACCGGCAGCGACCGGCGCCGAGCTGCTCTGCCCCGCTTCGCTCTGGCCACGTTTCCCTCGTTCTTCGCCCCGGCATTCTGACGCGTCTTTGCCGGCGCGGTTTCTCCTTGCCCCAGCGGCGGCTGTGGCAGTGCCATGGGTGCTCAGGGCCTCCGTCCGCCTCGCTCCCGGGGAATAGCGGGAGGGGGGCGACCGCGACCGCCGGTGCCCGTCCCCGGATCCTCTCCTGATGCCCGTCCCCGGATCCTCTCCTGATGCCCGTCCCCGGATCCTCTCCCGGTGCCCATCTCCCGTTCCTCTCCCGGTGCCCGTCTCGGTGCCGCAGGGCCCTCGGTACCTGCCTAAATGGCAGTCGCTCACTCCGGTCATTGACGGGACCTGTAGGTGCAGACGGTGCCACGAGGCCTCTCTCCCCCGTAACAAGAGGGCGATTTCAAAACCGTGCTGTCACCATCGAGTCGCTATTCCGTGAACAACTCCGGGCTCCGGCGGGGCTGGCGGAGGGCAGCGGGGAAGTCTGGCAGCCCGGTACAGAGGAGGGTCCCGGGGCAGATCTGCCTGCACGGCACCCGAAGGCGAGCACAGCTGAGCTCAGCGATGTCAGACCGTCGGGCACAGCACGGCTGGCAGGGGCACACCGTGGGCAGAGCGTGTGCCCGTTTGTCACCGGTAGATCTGGAACACTTTCCCTTGGATCAGTAGCTGCTTTGGCATTTGGCATAGAGAACACGGCCCTGGGGTTCACTCTGTGTTGCCCTTCCTGATGGTGGGTTAACTCCCCAGACCCGAGCAGTACTGAAATGGAAGGGAAATGCCCCCAAAGCATGTAGAGCTCAGAGCTTTTAGCAAAAGGGCTGCCCAGCTGGTCCGTTAACTTGAACCTCGCTTGAAGTGTGCTGGTGGATAGACTGGGTATTAATGCTACGATAAGGCTGTCAGGAAGAAAAATAAGGCCTTTCCTGCTCATGTATGGATGTTGCCCAGTGGCTCGATCTGATATGTTTGTGGGGATGCTGGAGTGGTTTTTGAGTACTGCTGTCTGTAAAGAGGAATGTTTGAAAAAACACTCATTAACACCAGTGCAGCCCAGCATGAAGCTGGAACCACATTCCCATTTCAAAACTCAGCTAGCCTGCTTTGGATTTTATCTTTTAACTTTTATTTGAAAACAAGAATGTTTTAATATTTAATACATTTTTTTTCCTGATACAAGGGTAGCTAACAAGGAAGTATTGATTGTGTTACAGCAGTTCCTCTGCACTCCTGGTGAGTGAGATGCAGTGCTTGGAACAAGAGGTGCACAACGGCTCCCTTTCTGAGAAAGCATATGGAAGTGGGTCTGTTCTGCAGGGAAGCACCTCTAGCACTGCTTTTCCTTAATGAACCCACCTGCTAGACAGATTTTTTTTTTCCACGTGGTTTAGGAGTCATTGAGTCTGTGCAAGAATGCAAAGGAGATCGAGTTGTGAGAATGTCAGTTGCCATGGCAACACTATTTCCCATGGATTTTGGTCCTGTCGTAATTATGCTCTTTTTCTAACTGATTTGGGAGCTCTGCGGTCCTTGGGGATGTTAGTGCCACAATTACTGGGGATCGTTCCCCTCACCAGATTGATCTAACGCTTTCCTAAAAGATCCAGCTGCTTGTTGCCAACGCTGGCTGCTGTTCCCTTGCATCACAGATGATTCAGGGGAATTTTCTGGGAACGTTCCACAGGTGTCACATCTTGGCAGGGAAATATAGGAAGAGAGAAATACGAGTTTAGGGAGCTAAATATGAACTGTGCTTTCTAAGGATGTAGAGAGAGCTCTTTAAAAACCCTGCATTATAATAGAGGAAATGTAGCATCTATGGCAAAAAGCAATCTGATGGGAAAGAGGAAAAGGAAGAAAAAAAGGAAAAGTACTTGTTTGTGCTTTACTGACTTGCCAAGGTTTGGCTTGGGGTGCAATACTCCTCTTCCCACGTTGGTACTTGCATGTGGAGGCTTTGTGGTGCTGTGTGGGACACAGTCCCTGCAGCAAGAGAGCAGCCCCAAGGACTCAGGTGCTGGGTTTAGCTGGGCATGTGTTGTCAAACCTGTGACACCGTGGCTGCTGCTTCAGTGCTCTCTAGTAAGCTGTGAGTAGCCTTACTAGTGGTGATTCACCCCTACTGTGGTGGAGCCAGAGATACCAGAGATCTTCATCATGGAATCTCCTCTTGCAAGTGGGCTGGATGGAGCTACCCTCCCTATCCCTGAGGGTGGCAGGGGACACTGAAGGGCCCAGTGTAGCAGATTCTCTCAGTGACTGGGATCAGAGTCAGCGCTGGGAACCTGTCCCCTCGCGGAGTGGTTTTGGTAATATTAACTTTAGTTCCATCACAGCTCAATGGAGGGAAAAACTAGAAAGTGCCATAAATTCAGCCAAGCTTGTCAAAGCTGTCAAATTACCCCTGACAAAGCTCCTGCCTGTAATGACTACAGCATCAGCTGGAGGGGATGTCTGTGATGGGGTGACAGTGCCAGGGCTCAGCACTGTTACAATTGTGATGTACTGTCATTGGGGGCTCCTGGGCACCACTCGAGGGTGATGCTCTGAGCAGAGCTAGTTTTTAAAAAAAAAAAATCTAAAAATCTAAGGGTGTAGACCAGCATCCTGCTTTCTTTTCTCAGCCAGAGTAATGCTGACTGCTAAATTCTAGTAAAGGTCTTTCTTGGCCCCATTTATTAGTATTAGGAGTCCAGAGAGATAATGTCTTTGCACATATAAAAGGTGCTATTGATTTCCTGTTACTGTTGTCCTGAAATGTGCATGGGGTATCTATGGAGCAGTGACAATCCTCCATCACTAGCTTTATGGGAAAAGAATGCTTATTGAATCTCTTCCCATAAAATATAATCTCTTTCTCCCTTCCAGAATTTGCCGGCCCCTGTGGGAGTCCCTTATGTTATGTCTTTGAGAAAATTGATTTTTTTTGTCTCTGCTTTGTACACTTGTGTTTAGTCTTATTTTTAATTTGGCTCATGTGATGTGAAGGCTTCCCTAACATTAAACATGCTTTTTCAGTCTTGTTTTGCTTCTCATTCATATAGATTAACACTTTCAGAATGTTTTAAAGTAAAATAAAGATATTTGCCTGGCACAAGTCTCTCTTGTTGTTGTTGTTGGGAATTTTTTTAGTCTGAGCGAGTCATTGCCCTGCTCCTTCTCTCCAGACAGGGCTGAGGCACTGACAGCTTTTCAGCTGCTTACAGGTAAATTCGGGGTAAGTTTCTGGAGTGAGCACACACTGAGTGATCATGAATGACACCATAGCCAGGAGCACAACTTGCAGTGTTGTCTACTCGAGGAGCAAGGTGGTCTTTGAACTTTAACAGTGGCAAAAAAATACTATCAGATTTGTCCTTTCCTCTGTGTAGCAAAAATGACTGACTATGGGATTTTTCATTTCAGGGAGGAAACGGCAACATGAATTCATAGATGATGAGTAGGATGCCAAAGCCAGAGATGACAGTGCTCTTGAAGAAATGCTGGGTAGAACAAAAAGGTAAAAGGAACAGCTAATTGAGTGCATTTCAGAGCCTGTGGGACTTTGTGGGGTACCTTTCCTCACAAGGCAAACGGCACACCCCCTCAAACCAGAGCTTAGTGTTCTGAATTCCCTCCTCCTCCGTTTTGCATGAAGTCCCAGTGCCGCCTCTCACTCCTGACCTGCTCTCTCTTTGCTCGGGTTTTCCCCAAAGTTGCATCATTCTGTACCTAAAACCCATACGACTCGTCCTTTCCGCCCTGTCCCTGCATGTGTGTGTTGGCAGGTGCAGCAGTTCTCCCTGCCCCACCAGCCCAGCAGTTACTCCACGCCTCTGCTGCCATGGTTGTGCTGAGGGCAAAAACAGAAGTGAGAGCTGCACTGCACCAGTCCATTTGCAGGCAGTGTTGTGCTCCAGAGGGTCGGTCAGTCAGCCATGGCCAGTTCCTGCTGTGGCCATGCCCCCGGGCAGGTGCACACGCCTGCAGTGTTGGGAGTGTTCTGCAAACGGGTGCCTCCAACAAGGCTGAATCTCTCTCTGCTGCTCTGATGCCTTTTACTGTGTTTTGTGATAATGCTGTTGAGATGCCTGGAGGAAACATTTCTTATTGGCTCTTTCATTCTGCGAAATTCTCTCTGTAATGGAGGCATGATAGTCTACCTGGGAACTTGGGGAGGAAAAGAGGCAGCTTTAGTCATATCTGCAGAGCACCATGCAGTAGGAAGGCCTTGTTACGCTCGTCCAGTGGCAGCAGAAGTGGCTGAAGCAACTGATGAGGAGTAAGAAAATCTTCATTAGTCATGTAGCTCTCCTTGGGATATTTTCATGCTTGTTTCATGCAGGCTGACTTAAATCCCCCAAAGGCAAAAGCAAATGTTCTCCTTGCAAGAGTTCCAGGTTTGCAGTGATGATCTGCCTGTTGCCCCTGCCTCTTGTCTCTCTCCAGCAGCAGCTGTGTGGGACACAGGGTGTTTCTGGGGCAAACAGAGGATCTTGTCAGTACTGCGTAATGGGCTGATATATATAAAAAGTAGTTTTGCTGGAAGCGTTGTTTTCAAAACAGCCATCAGGGAGGGTATTCCCTGTAGTTCAGGTGTTCATGCCATTTGACCAACCAGAACTCTTGGTCTGCTTGGAGCCTTCCAGCCTGGTATTACAAGAGTGTGTCATGGCAATGCAAATGTGTTCAAAATATCTGCTAAATACACTCTGAAACACTGATTGACATTTTTGGAATGGTCCTAACTTGTATAGGCTGTCCTACAGTTCAAATCCATGATAATATAATTTTTAGCTTGATAGC